ACACACACGTGCAGATCCGTCCTGGCAGAGGAGGGAGAGCTTGTGCCTGAATAAAACCTGGTCTTAAAGGTGCCACTGGACTGTTTTGGAGGTGGGCGGGGGAGGGAACTCTGCAGCTTACCTGGCTGCTTCTTGCTCTGAGGGCTGCTGGGAGCAGGGGGTGGGGCTTGTTGCATGTGCCCGCCCCCTGGGCTCTTTACTGCCGGAGCTCCGCTCCTGTGCGCTCCGGCAGGAAATGACCCCTGGCTGCGGCTATATTTGTACAATCTGTTTTGATGTTTTTTGCCGTCAAGTCACAGCTGACTTACGGTGACTTGTAGGGTTTTCAATTGCAGAACTGTTTAGAGGTGGTTGCCATTGCCTGCATCTGCATCAAAACTCTGGTATTCCTTGAAGATCTCTCATCCCAATACAGCCAGGGCCGACCCTGCTTAACTTTTGAGATCTGACGAGATTAGGCTAGCCCAGGCTATGCAGGTCAGGGTCTGTAAGATTTACTATTTATTTAAAAACATTTCTGTTCTCCTTTTCCGCCCAAATAAGGTCCTCAAGGTGGTGAAGAGATTAGTATATTCCTTGTGACTATACGAATGTGCAGCCTGCAAGGTGGGTGGTGTTGCTTTGCACACCACCTTCCTTGCTGGGAAGGGGGAGAGAGAGAGTCAACTCTACCGAACGCTACCCTGGCCTGACCTGCTACATCCCTGGACTTCTGGTTGCGCCATCAATTTACACAGGGCAGGGCCTTTATAATTTACACAGGGCAGGGCATTTAAACCCCTGGTTTCTGTTCCCTGCCGCTCAGCTGTTTTTGCAGGGAAACCCCTGGTTTCTGCTCCCTGCAAAAAGCGGCGGGGAGCAGAAAGCAGGGGTCACGAACCAAAATGAATCACAAAAATGAGGTTTGTGCCCATCCCTACCTGTGACTTTGTCTCCTGAAATGGTCAAATTGCATAGCACAGAAGAACTTCCCTAGATTAGAATGTTCTGTTATATTTACCTGAATTGGACCGGGTTCTTGTTGTGACTCATTTTCATCAGTTGTCACTGCAGGCAGAGAGACGGTTAGCTTTAACTTCTCTTCTCCTGGCAAGATGAGCTCATGGGTCTTCATGCCAAGAACTCTCTGCCTCACTAAAACAAAAAAGAGGAAAGCCATTAAAATGTCTTTGAATTATTGGCATATAAACAGGAGGCACATAAATACTTGACTCAAATCTAACTGGTTCTACTACAGACCAATACGATCAAGTATGTTTATACAGTTTCAGAGGGTTGCTGCGTTAGAACAGCTAGATCTGAGTCCAGTAGTACCACAGAGACTAATAACATTTTCAGGGCAGAAGCTTTCAAGAGTCAAAGCTTCCTTCGTCACATACTTTCGTCAGGATGTTTATTCAATGACCCCCCACCCGCTTTACAGAACATGAGATGCAGGGGTGTGTGTGTCTGCCCTTAAAATCTTACAGTTTAAATACAGTCAGAGATAGAAGAAAAACTCAAAGATGAAGGTAAACAGAATACACATATAGTTCAGCTATATCAGGGTCAATAAAAAAGGTAAAGGTAAAGGTTCCTTTGCTTGAAAGCCAGTCGAGTCCGACTCTAGGGTCGCGGTGCTCATCTCCGTTTCCAAGCCAAAGAGCCAGCGCTGTCGGAAGACGTTTCCGTGGACACGTGGCCGGCATGACTAAACACCAAGGCGCACAGAACGCTGTTACCTTCCCACCAAAGTGGTACCTATTTATCTGGTACCTATTGATCTACTTGCAATTTCTTGCTTTCGAACTGCTAGGTTGGCAGGAGCTGGAACCAGAGATGGGAGCTCACTCCATCATGCGGCAACTCGGGTCTCAAAATGCTGAACTACTGACCTTCCACAGGCTGCAGTTCAGCGTCTTAACCACTTGGGCCACCGCAGCTCCTTGTCAGTGTCAATAGCGGATGACAAATAAAAAAGCCGAGCCCAAGGCTTTACAGGAATGGCAGTTCTGAGCCTCCATTCGAAGGGGGCATCATCACATGGGTATTTTGAAACACTGTTCCAGGCATAAGGGGGGGAAAGGGTAGCACATCAAAGAGAGCAAGACCCATCCTGACAGCTTTGAACTAGGCCTGAGGAAATGAAGGTAGGCATGGGGTACTTTGGGATGAGAACAAAGAGAAGGCAGAGACTGATGGGGAAGACAAGGAGACAGAGCTGAATCTGGGCTGGATGGGAAACCCGTGTAAGGATTCAAGACGGAACATTTCATGGTAACAGCATAGAGAAGGGGGATGTACTAAAAGGAATGGCGGGATTGCCCACTGGAAACAATGAGAGAGGCTTGAAAGTACACTGGAAATAACGGGAGTCAGGAATTTCAATTGACTTGCACGGGCGACTGTACAGGTGGCTCCTGGGCAGGGCAGGAAAGTTGGCCCTGCCCAGTTATCACATTTCCAGCAGAGAATTGGCCCAGGGAAGTTGTGGGTGGCACCCGGGGAGATCGCAGGTGGTTGACCCACGGAAGTTGAGGATGGCTCCCAGGCAGTGTGAAATGGTTGGCATTGCCCTAAACTTGCCTCAACAATAGTGGGAGGATGGGCTCAGTGAGGCACAGGCACCTGGTATCCTCAGGGGCTATCATTCCACTCTGGGCCCTGTCATTCCAGTCCCAGAACACATCTGCTACTTCCAGGGGCTGTCATTCCACTCTGGGCCCTGTCATTCCAGTCCCAGAACACATCTGCTACTTCCAGGGGCTGTCGTTCCAGTCCCAGAACACATCTCCTACGCCCAGAGACTGTCATTCCACTCTGGGGCCTGTCATTCCAGTCTCAGAACACATCTGCTACCTCCAGGGGTTATCATTCCACTCTAGGAGCTGTAATTCCAGTCCCAGAAGACATCACATATTGTGATGTTACGGTTTTAGGATTATTACATTATTTATTGTTGTTTTTATGCTGTTGTAAGCCGCCCTGAGCCGGCCATGGCTGGGAGGATGGAGTATAAATGCAATAAATAAATCTCCTACCCCCCAGGGACTGTCATCCAACTCTGGCCCATGTCATGCCAGTCCCAGAACACTTCCGCTACTTCCAGGGGCTGTCATTCCAGTCCCAGAACACATCTCCTACCCCCAGGGGCTGTCATTCCACTCTAGGGGCGGTCATTCCAGTCCCAGAACACTTCTGCTACCCCCAGGAACTATCATTCCACTCTGAGTCCTGTCATTCCAGTCCCAGAACACTTCTGCTACCCCCAGGAACTATCATTCCACTCTGAGTCCTGTCATTCTAGTCCCAGAACACTTCTGCTACCCCCAGGAACTATCATTCCACTCTGAGTCCTGTCATTCTAGTCCCAGAACACGTCTGCTACCCCCAGGAACTATCATTCCACTCTGAGTCCTGTCATTCCAGTCCCAGAACACTTCTGCTACCCCCAGGAACTATCATTCCACTCTGAGTCCTGTCATTCCAGTCCCAGAACACTTCTGCTACCCCCAGGAACTATCATTCCACTCTGAGTCCTGTCATTCCAGTCCCAGAACACTTCTGCTACCCCCAGGAACTATCATTCCACTCTGAGTCCTGTCATTCCAGTCCCAGAACACTTCTGCTACCCCCAGGAACTATCATTCCACTCTGAGTCCTGTCATTCTAGTCCCAGAACACATCTGCTACCCCCAGGGGCTATCATTCCACTCTAGGGGCTATCAATCCAGTCCCAGAACACTTCTGCTACCCCCAGAGGCTATTATTCCATTCTGGGCCCTATCATTTTAGTTCCAGAACACATATGCTACCCCCAGAGGCTATCATATCACTCTGGGGCCTGTCATTCCAGTCCCAGAACACATCCACTACCCCCAGGGGCTGTCATTCCACTCTGAGTCCTGTCATTCTAGTCCCAGAACACTTCTGCTACCCCC